GAAAGTTTCCCAATAGAATGTAAACTCAGAAGGCTTAAAAAAACTCAAGAATCAGGGCGACAATCTGGCTTGGCTCTGCTGGGATCACAGCAGAGGAGCTGACTTGAACCAATGAAAACTTGAGGTCCTGGATGGCCTTTTAATTGTTTGTTCTTGCAAGGATTAGGGATTTGTGGTTTTGCTCTTGACAAAAGGGCTTTATCATAAATAGGTGTGGTTAAAGCGTGATATCATGCTGAGCAAACACTCAAATTTGTGCTATGCACTGAAGCCCTTGGACTTGGATGTAGTGAAGTTACATTACAAGCTGTTGCTGAGGGAGGAGAGAAATTATTTGATTTAAGGAGAGAACAAGAGTGGTGTGACTGTGACCCAGCTCCTGGAGAGCTCAGGGGAACTCTGCATGGACATGGTGCTACTAATTTCCCCTCTGGGCTTCCAGGGATCTGCAAAGCCTCAGAGCTCTACTCTTTGTATCCCAGTCTAGTATTCCAGCAGGCTGCTGGAGGGCCAGTTTCAGCACAGCACACAAACAAACATACATTTCATTTAAGGCTTCTTCTTAGTCAAGTGAAGTCACTGGTATGCCTCAGAAGCTAAGCTTAAACACGCACTTTGTGCTTTGGTTTGGATTGGAGACCAAGAACACAGCTCATTTTCTTATCAGCTCTGGGAAACAATTCCTGGGGAACTAAAAACATGTAATAAGAACTAATGAACACAAATCTTACACAACAAAGCTATTTCTCCTGCAGGCTGAGGCAAATACTTAAGATGAAGAATACAGGGGAAAAGAGAATGGCCAAATTATTCTTAGTAAATAGAAGCTAATATAGCCATCAAAGGCACCAGATTGCAGAAAATCTCTGATGATATTTTCGAATATATGGTATTGCTGTGCCGCTATTTATATTTCTCAGAGTAAAAAAAGGATTCTGCTGCAGAGGGATTTTTTGCTAAAATCCCAAGTACACCAGTACTTCACTTAAACCAGCACCCACTTTCAGTACTGTGGGTTCACTGTTTCAGTTGCACAATCTGACCATAACTGATTGCTTGCAGTTATTTGGAATGCAGCTTTTCCTGCTGCCAATTACTTTGTTTACTGCTTGTGTGTAAACAACAATGCCTCCCCTCATGGGTATAAGGGCAGATTAACTGCAGTAATTACTAAACAGATGTCTGCAAGTGAATACCAATTTCTTGGAGGCAGATTATCTTCTGCACTGGCATAAGGGAAAGGGATTCAAAGCAGGTGCTGCTTTCATCCCACAAGTGATGCGAGCAGCTTGGGACTCAGCAGAGAGCTGTGTAGGTCCCACACCTCTGCAGGGTGATAATCATTGACCTACTTGAGATCAGTGCTGAGAGATGTTTGGTACTTAATTCCTGAAAGTTACCACCAGTGAGTGAATAGCCCTCTAGTGCTATGTGCACTTCTTTTCTGTTACTTGGTTTTTCTGTTCCCAAGAAATCTAAGGTTGTGCTTTCAAGAGGGTTCAACACCCAGACTGAGAGCCTGTGTTTCCCAATAGCTCTATTCCCTATTCATACAATACTGAATTGTATGAAAGGTGCACTCAGCACTAAGTACTAAGCTTACTTAGGAGTCATTGAACTTGAGAGGGGGAGTCTTTACTAATCCAGTTGTACTGCCAGCACAGAAGTATGTTTAGAGCAGCCTTTTGGTGCCCTTGAAGGCTCTCCTGGCATATACTGTTTTTCAGCTGGGCAATCACCTTGCAGCCTATCCAGAAAAGCCACTACTGGCTGTTGGCTTGTGGCAAGAGCTTGCCATTATGTGAAGGCTACTGCATGCCAGAGCAGGGACTGCTGACCACGGGTCTCAAAGGCAGGCAGAGACTTTTTCTCCCACCATCACTGAATAAGCTGGTGTGGGATGGGTTCGTTTCCATAAGCAGAGGACACTCTTTTACTGCAGTGAAATAGTTTTGGCTTTGGTATTGAATCACTCTCAGACCCAACTCATAAAGTGCTGACTGTCTTGCTCAAGAGGCCTTTTTTTTTTTTTTTTTGTGAGCCCCTTGGACTCATGTGAACATATGCAAACCCTGCATTTGGTTCTGGCAGCCAGTTTGAGGGACGAAAACCTGGAAATCTAACCTTAATTTATGATTGATGTATTTTAAAAATGAGTCAAAAAGCAGATTAAAAAGGCATTTAGAGTGTATTGAGTTTGAGATATTTCAAAGGTAATCTCCTACCTGTAGGGAGTGTGATTATTTTTTGTGAGCTGAGGTTTGCTATCTCATTACTGAGTGATGACAAAAGCCGTTGTTCCTCCTGCAGGCCCCGTTTCTGTGTGAGAGCCGTGCAGAGATTAGAGCTCTGCAGGCTGTGCTTTCCAGCCCTGCAGGAAGCAGCCAAAGGCTGTTATCTTTAGCCAAATGCAGATATAGCAGGCCTGGAGGAGAGGTACTCAGATAAAGTCAGAGGGGCTGCCACAGTGGAGATTTTTCTGGGAAGTTCAACCAAACTCTGGAAGTGTGTTCAGAGAATTCCCTGCGTACATGTTAGGAATTGCAAAGTGGAGAAATTGCCACATTTAAAGATACTCTTGCCATTAAGAACAGAAACCCCCACGTTTATTTTTGTGCCATGAAAACTACCCTGGGGACATGGACCACAGCAACTCTACCCATTGATGTTGCCATCCAACTTCCATCTGCCATTTCTGTTGTCCATGTCTTTAGAGACTCAATCCTATAAATCTTTCCAATGGATTCAATAGGGCATTTTGTCTTTCAATCCCACAGACACAGAGCTGTCCGTATAATTCTCCAGCTGGACAGTGGCCTGGCTGACTGTACTTCACAGGAACTCTGTGCCCATACAGAAGCTTTGGCTGGAGGCGACAGTACATTTATTTGAAGGATTTTCTGCACATTATGTACATATTGTAATGGTTAGAGTTGTAAAAGTGAAATTTTCATGTTTCACAACTATATTTTTGAATAGTAAAAGAGAGATGAGGGACATCAAGAGAAAGGGCAAGGGATGTAGCAGTTATATGGCGAAATTAGTAAGCCTGATACCATAAAAAGCTCACCAGTCCTGAATGAAATTGAAACATAGACAAAAAGGCAGATGAAAATATGTTGGATATTGCTCAGATATCAACCACAAAAGAAGATGCGAAACCGCTGTTTTTCTAGTTATACTGACAGCACACAGTATTACAGACTTTTGCAATGTTATCATGAGTCTTCTGCTGCTTAGTAAGTTCTTTAATTACCAGCTTCTTTGTTTATCTGGTTATTCATGAATTTCTGTTTTATATTTTTTAAAAAGCACCTCTGATAGAGCAAGATTGTTGCACCCTGCAGAAACAAGCTGACAAAATACAGCTTTATTTCATGAACAAGGTGCCCTTTATTCATCAGCTGTAGAACATAATTTTTTTGTCAAGCTTTTTTTTCTCCTCATAATTGCTTTGTTTCACATCCTGATTTCAGGGGGGTTGGACTGGCAATAGTCTACAAATGCAGGTTGTTTCTGTTTGGGTGTCTGCAGGTGATTTTGGTGATATTCATTCTAGGGCTTTGAGCAGCCTGGTCTAGTGGAAGGTATCCCTGTCCATCACAGGGGGGTTGGAGTAAAATGATCTTCGAGGTCCCTTCTAGCCAAGTCATTCTACGACTATTTCTCTCGCTACAAGAACGACCCCAATTCCTGTCAGTGTTGATAGCTCAGCTTGTTGCCAGCTGCAGGGATTTTTCCATGCTGGATATTTCTGGCATGCAGGCAGCCTTTCCAGTCAGCAGATAAGCCCTTTCCAGTATAAGGCAAGCTGTGGATATCCAGGTGCAAAACCTCCTCCTCTCTCAGCCTAACAATTCCATGAGGCATTAAATCTCACTGAAGCTGGCTCCCTCAAGCTATAAGTCCTGTCTTCCCAAACTTAGGATTTCTGATGGGACGAGGGAGATGTCCTAGGGTGATGTTATGGTGCTTGTATCCCCAACAGTGTGTTCTGTTTATGTCTGATATTATGTTCTGTGCTTCAGTGAAGGTTTGTTTTGTTTTGTTATCAGCCGGTTCACCTCCCCGCAAGGTCTGTTGTCTAGAAGAGGTAATGCTGGCTGGCTTGCTTTGCTTGCTTGCTCTTGCTCCTGCTTTTGCCTTTGCTTGTTAGTTAGTTTAGCTGAACAGTCCAATTTTTTTCCCTGGACTGTTTTTTTTTTTCCTTTCCCTTTCCCTTTCCTGAATATCATTCCAAACTGCTCTGGACTGGGACGTGGGAAACACCGAGAGCCTGCACTTACTTTGTGATCTCCAGCAGCCATCCCCAGCGCCCAGACCCGGGCCTTCATTCCCAAGAGAGGCTTTCTGGATTTGTCATATCTTCAGAGTGGTGAAAGAGTTTTGTTGTCATCTGGTGTTGTTAATTTCTTGGTGCTGGGGAGTGTTTTGTTTGTTAAATAAACAGTTTTTTTCCCCCACTTCCCGCCGAGAAAATTCTTCCCGAACAAGGAGGGGGGAGCGTGGGGGTTTGTTTTCTGGGGGCTCCTTCCAGAGGTTTTCTCCCAAATTTGCCCTAACCAGGACAGGAGATAATGTTGGTATTTAGGGAGCAGACGGGAAGCAATCCGTCTGTCTGGGAAGCCGCCTCGGCCCTTCGAAGCGTAGGTGAGGCAACACCAGCGCTGCGGAGGCAGAGGTAGGAAATTACTCAAGGTGTTTTGTGCTGGGAACACAACACCGGTAGCTTAAAATGCTCTGTGGCTTTTATTTTCCTTTCGCAGTAGAGGGAAATAAGCACAAGAATAACCCAGGAAGAGGCAGAGTCTGGGAAAAGCCTCCAGCTTCCCGCGCCCGTGCGGAAAGCATCCTCCTCCGCTTTGCAGCCCGCTCCCGGACCCTGCGCAAGCCCTCGGCCGGGGCCGGGCCGGGGCTCGGCCCAAAACAGCGCCCGGCCCGCCCCGCCCCGCCCCTCGGCTTTAAAATGGCGGCGGCGTGAGGGGGAGCAGGAGAAAGCAGCCATGGCGGCCGACAGGGTGTCTGTGCTGGTGCTGCTGGTGGCGGCCCTGCTCTGCTTCGCCGGCGCCGTGCGGGGCGCCGGGCTCCGCCCGCGGATGGTGGGCGCCCCGCAGCCCATCGAGAACCCCGAGAACGACGAAGGGCTGGAGCGGGCTCTGCAGTTCGCCATGACGGCGTATAACAGGGCCAGCAATGATATGTACTCCAGCCGGGTGGTGCGGGTCATCAGCGCCCAGAGGCAGGTGAGCCCGGGGGCGGCACTCTCTCCTAGGGGGCTGGGAATGTGCAATATGCCGGCCGGATTCCTTTGGAGAAAGGGCAGGTCTCTAGCCTGGGGGCCTCTGCAACTTTTCCCCTCACAGAAAGTGAATAAAAGCCCTTTTTAATATCTGGGCTTCTCTCAGTCTGAGTGACCTTGAGTGCTGTACGCTGTGGAAGGAGCCAGCGGCTTCCCCGTGCAGCTCATGAGTTAACATATGTCTGTATTTATTGCTAAGGAAGCTGCTCTGTGGGACATGTTTACTTGGATTTTGTTTCCTGTTTCTAAGGGGGTGCCAAGTGCCTCTGTAGTGGAGGTTGCCACATAAAATTCCCTCTGTACTTTCAGAGTCTGTTTTCCATCATGTAACAGGAACACTGCCTGCCTCTCTGATTCTCGGCAGAGAGCCCTTCTCCGTCTGCTGTGAGTAAAGCTGCCTCTGCCTGCTTGTCTTGTTGCAGATCGTGGCTGGAGTCAAGTACATAATGGAAGTGGAGATTGCCCGGACAACCTGCACAAAGCCAGCGACTGATATCCAGCACTGTGCCTTCCATGAGGAGCCACAGATGGCCAAGGTAGGCTCCAGGGCACAGCCTGCTGACCCCCACTCTCCCCATTTCCAGCCCTGTCCCGCTGGCTGGCTTTGTACAGATGCCTGTGGTCAGTGTCCCCTGTCTGCCTTGGCCGACATCAGAGACCTTATGCACTTATGCTTAACACGGAAAAGCAAGCTTTGCCCTTGCAGAGCTTGTCTTGCCAGTTGATGTCAGAGAAGGCAGGGCCTTTTGGCTGTTTTTCAAGTGGGACTCAGGCTGGAGCAGTGCATGTGTCTCAGTCCTCTTAAGAAGTAGTCATGGTCTGGATCAGAAGGGTATGTGGAGGAAACTGTGTCAGGTCTACAGGCCTCCTGGCTCTCAGTCTTCAGTCCTCATAGAATTCTTACCTCTTTTTTTTCCCATGGTGATGTAAACATGCTTGGCATGCTTTCCTGTGGGACTTGTATTGCTGTGAATAGAGCCTTGGGCAAAGCACTGCCCAGAAGAAGCAGATCACCCCATCTCTCTGTGCCTACCAAGCAGTTACACAGGCACTTTGTAGTGAGTAATTGAGCTTTTTGGGTGGGAGTACGAAACATATCTGCCTTCACCTGGCCTGAGTTTTTCCACAGTGCTTCATTCCTTCTGTTGATGGCAGCAACAGGATGTGTGTGCCCTTTTTTCCTGCTTGTGTGAGAGGTGTAGCTGCACATAAGAGAAGCACAAAACTGTGTGTACCATTATGGCAACTGCAGTGATTTGTCACACGTGGCTTTGCTGTGCCTGTGGGCTTATATGTGAGTATTATCCATGCTGAAAGCTTTCCTCTGTGAGTGGATAAAGGAGATAACGTTGTCAGCAGTGCTGATGCTCAGCTTTATTTCTTAGGGTTTATTTAGGAGATGTGACTTGCTCTGAGTACAAAAGTGCTGCTCCAGAGTACTTGCCTGGAGAGTGCATATCTAGAGAGCCACAGGAGTAAAGAACAATGGTAAATGACACTCTTTCATGCTCTTAGTTTCCTAACTACTTTTTTCTTTCTTTCCTTAGCACACTATTTGCAACTTCGTAGTGTTGAATGTTCCTTGGCGAAACCAAGTGGAGCTGCTGGAGAGCAAATGCCAGTAAGCCTACCTAGATTCCAGCAGAGACCAGCAACCAGTTGTTCAGATTTAAAAGAAAAACGCAATAACACAAATTGAGATGGGCTTTATCAACGCCTGTAACTTGGCTACTGATGTATGCTTGTGCTATGCAAATTAAACCATGTAACTTCACTTTTAAAGCACAGTATGATCTCAACTTTTTCTTCTTTGGAATTACTATTTTAGAGCAGCTGTTTTGGTCTTCTACAGCTTTCCCAATGAATTCACTCCAGTATCAGAACTTTTATTGAAACCTCTTGGTATCCATGTTAAGTGACTACTGTAAACATAAAAAATTAATTAATTGCCATGATGTGTGGTTTTCTTTGATCTTCTGCTGCCTTGGAGGGAGGGTTTGCTTTTAGTTGTCACCCATGCTATCCTGCCCTAAGAATGGGATGAGAAGAAATATTGGGTCGTGATCGCAGAGGAGACAAACCATGCCTGCTCGTTCCTTAGCTTGGCCTCTGGTTCTGAGTAGTAGACGGAAGCCTTAGCTGTTTTCACTGAAGGAACTCTGCTTTGGAGAACTCTTGATCTTGGGAATGGTTTTGGGTCCTGGCTGCTGTACTGTTCTAAGGCTGTAAGGAAGAAGGAGGCTCCCCAAGATAAAATTGCATTTTCAGGTAGTAGGGGAAGGTGCCAGGTCAAGAGAGAGTCTTGGGACTGGGTGAAGGTGCTGAGGTAAACAATGGAGGAGCTTCTTGTTTTTTTTCACAGTCCTGATACAGTAAGAAATGCTCTATCTTGTGTTTTACTTTTCTGTATTTTGAAATAAACCTTTTCCTTTTGGTGTGAATCTCACACATGCATACAGCAAGTCCAGCTCCTTGGGAGTGCATCTGTGGGCTGTTCTTCCTCCCAAGGGAAATGCCACTTCCCATCATTGCCAGGGTTTGGCAAGCTTGCAGTAAACATTAGGCAACACCTCTGTTTGTGTTGTTGGGAGGATGAGCTGTTTGCCTGGCACCAAAGATCTACATCTGGGTTGTGCTCAGATCCAATAGGAATAAATCCCTCTTTCCCTTTCTTGCCCACCCCATTCTTAGTGCTCTGCATGAAGGTGGCCTCGTTTTTCTTGCCAGCCAGGTCAGTGACTCTGTGCTGACCCTGGAAATCTTGGGTTGGGCTGCTCAGGTGCCCTTAGCTGTCCTTCTCTATCTCCTCAGTTCATATATGGTTATTCCCTGGATTCCCTCTACACAAGCACAAGACAGTGGTGAATGGATTCCCTCATGCTGTAAGTGAGTTTGCCTCTTAATCTTCTATCCTTTTGACTTGAGGGTGGGTAATTGCACAGGTCTCCTTCAAAGAAAGTCTAGGCAAGAAATGAAGGTGCAGATAGACATAATGAGGATTTTCCAATACTTTGTTATATTTATTACCCAGCAGCTCAGAACAGCTTGTGGAAAAAAGTGGCTGTGCCAGAGAAGATGAGAGTTTGAATGTTAGGATCTCCTGACTGTGGAGGTGCTGCATTTTTCTGTTGAAATGCCCGTGACTAAGGGCATGAATGAATGGCATAGATTACCCTATGCTCACAAACTGCTAAGTGTCAGCCTTGGTGATTATCCCACCTGGAGAAGTGCCAAAAAAAAAAGCCTGACCTAATTTAAACACATTCCACTGTGGGCTGTGTTACTTTGCATTTGCAACAGGCTAAGAGCATTAGTGGAAGTTCCCCTGCCAAGAGCATTTTGCTTCTCAGGTCTTTTTGTTTGGCTGGCTGGTAGTGTCTGGGCCAGCTGAACACTGAGCCCTCATTTTTTAGCTGCATTCTCTGCCTGACTTTTTCAAATGTTGGTGTCAGATGTGAACAGGTGACCAGGGAAGTGCTTGTTTCATGTAGTCTCTTGCTTTGCTTGCATCTCATACATCAATTCTGGGGACATTCTTCCTGGAACTTAGTAGGGTCAGAGCTTTGCTGCTGCTACAGCCCAAGAATCCAAGGGTTTTTCCTGGCTCTGGTTCTCAGGAGCAGATTTAGGGCCAACCATGTGAGAAGTATAGCTCTCCTTAGCAGTGTCTGCCCTTGCAGGCCTGTGCTCACAGGGACTTGTGGCTCCCAGCTCCTGGGTTGTTGTTCCCTGCTTATGCTGCTCCCTGGGTCATTGCCCTACAGGGTCTTTCTGAGAATCTTTAAGTTGTATCAGCACTCCTTCCAGGTATGGGCACTTCCCTGTTTACACAGCTGAAATGGCAATTTCCTGCAATTATGGCAGGAAATGACCATGTGAGGATTTGGATCACCCTGCAGCCCTCAGTCTGGGCCTCCCAGTGGTGTCGCTGATGTGAATGCACTCAGGGTGCATTCCTTAGCCTAAGGCATGGAGACCTCTCAGTGAGCATTTAAAAATGCTTGGTTGTTTGTGTTCATTATTAACATGTAATGCCTTAGAATTCCTAGTGTGGCTCCTTCAGAAGGTCAAATTTACCAATCAAATACGCATTCCATTTTGAATCTTGGTGCTCTGTCTCTTGACATGGGAGAGGGAAGACTTCATGTCCCTTTCCTTGTGGAATGCAATGGTCACCTGGAGATCATTTCTGCAGGGTTGAGTAGGAAAGTGTCCTACATTGATCACTGCTGGCAGTGCTGAGCCTTTCCATGACTCTTGTCACTCAGCTTTAGTGGTGGCGAGAAGGTGGGAGGGCAGGTGCCTGTCTCTCCTCTCTGGGCATCATTGTCCCAGCTGGGCAAGGAAGGGTGAGGAGGAGGACTATTCTTGAGTGAGAAGAGCAGCAAACCTGCAGACTCCATGGTGTAAATCCCTTCTGAGTGTTTCTCTCCTGACCCTCTGGCATGAGTCATGGCTCACTGGGACAGCAGACCCTGGGGCAGGACCCAGGGCTTGAGGTGACACATGCTAAAACCTCTCTTCTGTATCATCACTCACTCACAGGACATTGCCCAACCTCCCTGAGCTGGTGGGCTCCTGCTGGTACAATTTTGCAGTGGGAAAAAAAGGAGATCAGCTGCTCATCCCCATGATAAGCTGGGGCGTGTGCTGGACCCTATTTTTAAGCTTTCTGGAGGGAGATGTGGGTGTGTGTGAGCACAGGGCTGATGATGGGGAAAACCTTTCCTTGTTTCCAGCTGGAGAAGATCCCCCTGTGGCTCATGATGCCCTCACTGTACCATGCCTCACAGGGAGGCACCGTCCTCTCTTCCTCACAAGCTGAGAAACTTCATACCTTGTGCCCTGCTAGCTCCACCACTTTTCAGCATCCAGCTGCAGAAGAAATTGGGACTCAAGCCAGGTCAGGGAATAGATTTTATATATTGAGTATAAAAGCTAGCAAAAGAAGAGTTGTTTCAGTGAAATAGGGATGCTTACACTGAGCATGCCCCTCTCCCTTGTCCTAGGTGGTCTCTCCATCTGTAGAGGTGAATAGTGGGGCTTCTTCCCTTCTTGTGGGCCCAAGGAGGGAAGATCAATGGAGGAAAATCACCATCTTCAAGTGGCAGAATTGGCTAAAAGCAGGAGGAGGCTGGAGAAAATACTGGCTGGACTTTAAGGGTGACTGTGGTTTGCAAATGCAGCTGCACAGTTCTGAGCATGTCCAGAGCCAATGGGACAGATGCTCTTCAGACACCATGTTGCAGCTCACTTGGGTGACATTGGGTGTGGCAAGCTCCATCTGTGCAGAATCACAGTTTGGTGAGCTTGGGGATCCCAGAGCTGGTTCCAGAAGGAGTATGTGGGAACTTTTCAGGAACAGGCTTCTCTCAAGACAAGCCATGACCCATAAAATGAAATTAGTTCTGGGCCTCTGAGCATGGCTGGGCTGGGCAGGTTGGCTAATTACACTGACCTTCCCTGGGTAAAACCCATGGGACTGGTTAAGATGACTACAGATTTTTAATTACCTGCTTTTCCTTGCTGAGCAGCAGGTCTTTTCACTTTCCGTGTTAGCCAGATAACATAGATGGAAATGTGTTTCCTATTTAATCTGACATTTTCAATGTCTGCTGCACACCCCAGATGGTTCAGTGGAAATTATTTCTTCTGTGAGATGTTGAAAGAATAATGAAACATGATGTTTCTACAGCTCTGACACGCTTTTTGCCCAGCTGCTTGCATGAACAAAACTGTCTGGGATCTCAGTTTGATAGGAAATTGGAGAACTGACAAGAAACTTATTTGCTCTGTGCTCTTGTAAACTGCTTTCCAAATGTAGGAAATGTTTCTTGAAGATGCTTGTGCTAGGAAAGCAAGGGATTCAGATATTAGAGGACAAGGGGTCTGGAAGGGTCAGATTCACCAGGGAGGAGACCTGCTGTAAACCAAATTTTTCACCTGGTCACAGAGAGTGTCAGCTCAGTGCTAACTGCAGAGCTTCTCAGCTCATAATGGGAAGAGAGGTGGGAAGAGAAATGCCTGACAGTTTTTCAGGTGCTGCACTGAGCATCCTCCATCTATCTACAGAGCCAGTTCGATCGCAAGGTAGTGAGAATGAGCAGTGAGTGTGAAATTAAACATGTTTTGGTCACATTCCACTGGACTTGGTCTGAAATACTGCCACAGGCAAGCAAAGTTTACTTTAAAATTTTTTTTAATAGAGAAAGTTGTGGGAACCCCTACCATTGGGGAAGATGCTGTGTTACGGCATCTGAAAGCAGCACTTAAGTTGCAGATGTGACCAGATGTCCCTCTGGGCTGCTCTTCCCTGAGCTTAATCATTAGTATCTGCATTTTACTGAGGCATTTTTATTATCTTGTGGAAGATACAGTTTCACAAGCTTTCCTGAACTGTAGATGTCTGACAATCACACTTGTGCCTCCCAGGACTGGAAGAGAGAAAAAGGCACTGCTGCTGGTATTGTAAGCAGGGAACAGCAGGGCAAGCAACAGTATTGGGTGAATTTCCAGCATGGAAAAGTGGTCCCTGGCTCCCCCAGATAGCAGGGACTGAGTCAAGCCTTCCTTTCTCAACTCTTGTAGCCTCATACATGTAACATAAAATCTTTCCACAGGGGGTCAGCATCTTACAGGAGATGCACAGGAGTGGAAGACAAGCCGGTTTCTTACCTCAGCAAAAGGAAGGCAGCGCCAAGCATCTGCCCTGTTCTTTATCCCATCGGGTGATTGCCCATCTACTTCCGAGTATCTGCTGGAAGAAGGTCTGATCCAGCCTGCCTGGAGCCTGCTTCGATCACCTAGGCAGAAGGACACTAGAGGGGACTGATCAATGTCCCCTGGTCAGTCAGGGGGACTGAGGGAGGGCAATCCCCGTAGAATCCTGCATGTCCACTCTTGCAGGATCAGCACCTGTCTCTGCACCTCTTTGCCTGGGTATTTCCGCTACCAACAGACACCTCTCAGTTGTGTCCAGGTGTTATGCAAACTGAAGGAAGTTACTCTAATCTAACCCCATCCTCTTGTCCTGCTTCTGAAGAGAATTGTTTGTTGTGTGATGAGCAAACCCAAACGTGTCTGCCCCTAGGTGGAGGAGTGCTTACAATGTTCTCTGAGATCATGATAAAGATTGCTTTTGTTGCTATGGGATTTCTATTCTGTAATAGAAAATGTGTTTTTCTCAATAGCTCAGATGTGCTGGAAACAGTTGGAGAGCTTCTGTCAGTCATGTCCCTGCAAACAGAAATCCTGAGGCTGTGTAAGCAAGTGTGGGAATTGGGATATTGAAATATGAGCATCCTTGACTACTAATCCTTTGTATCTGGCAGGTGCCTGGAGAAGCAGTCTAACCCAGAGACTGACAAATTGTATTTGTGGCTGCTACAAATTTTGTACAGGTACCAACGTTAAAGTATGAAGGGAAGGGCTGTGAACTTTCCT